AGTAGCTCCGCATTTACACATGTCTGTATCTGATAAATGTTTTTGAAATAGATCAGCATTAAGCTGAGAAAAGTCTGCGCGGATTTGATAAAGGATAATTTCGGGCGCACGCTCGATTTGATACACAAGATATACTGGGAGAGACTGATAGAGATAGGCTTTAAGCGATTTGATAAATGTGGATGAGTTTTTGTTTTCAATGATATTTTGAGGCAAGCCATTCCATAATTTGACTGTGTGAGGGAAAAAACTCAGATCACAATTAAACACTTCACACGTTTAATACACTAGTAGAATTTCTGCTACATTCTATGTGTCCTACGTATAAACCTATAAAAAGAATTCTAAGGATCGCACCATTACACGCTCCCAATAATATTACAAGCTTAAAACATTAACTGTTCATCTTTTCCAGTTTATGTGCGAAACTAATTATTAATGATTATTAAGTTTCTCTCTCTACAATTTATGTTATGTTTGTGTCCTATACAGTACCCTGGAAAAAATTGATTTGTTTTCTGTATATAATTTATTTTCGTGATACGAAGAGTTCAAACAAAGAAAATATCTATTTCTATCTTTTTACTACGTTATTTTGTTTATTACCTCTTCTTTTACAGATTTTGTCAAAGAGTTTCTGATGAGTTATTAGTATTGGCATTACATTTTTCTCTTTAACTGAAACACAACATTAACAAAACTTGAGTATGTAAAATTAAGTAAGTCTTCATTGAGAATATTCCGGTTAGTAAAAGTTTTGTTTTAGGGAAATACTTTTAATGCCAGTAGACAATTGATGCTGGTACAATCGCAGTTGAACAAGGCATTGCTTGTTCTGCGACTAAATATATGGATGGGCCGGTAGTTATCATACACAGAGCAGGAAATCAATTTATTAATAGCAGATAATGAAGAGATGTATTGTCAGTCTTGTTCGAAGACTAGTTCGGAAATTTTTAGATGCCTAGCATCAAATATTTTTAGGAATGATTGTTAAGTAAAGAATGGCCAAAATAATATCTATTTTAAACCATGAATGTTATGAAACTATATTAAATTATTTGTGTATAAGTTCAAATTTATTGCCAAAAGTTAAAAGTGATGAAATTTGTATGTCTTTTATAGTACAATCTATAATGTGCATAGACTAAGTGAGTGTTGACACAAATAGAATAGCTCTAATGAGTTGAGTGAGTGACCTTACATCTATTCGTTCGTTTGCACTACTAAAACACAGATCTAGGTCTAAAATTCATTAATATACTACAGTAGAGAAGGAAAGAAAGGAAACTTAAATCTCCTCATACTATCTGAGAATCAATAAATATATATTCAATGATAACAATGAACACATTATAAAAGGAAAGTGAAACAATATCTTCTGCTTTCTAATAGAACCTTCATATCTCTTCTATCTTTAAAACAGTTATTGATCATCATTCATATTTGTTCTTGTTAACTATGATTAATAGATGAATGGACGGATTTTCTTAAATATAAATTACACTACTCTCTCATTCCTGCGAAACAAATTCCATATCAACTAAAAATCTAAAGATTAGTTACTCTTACTAGAATATAGATAGAGAGATGGAGAAAGGAATGTAGAACTAGAATAAATAATAATAATAATAATAATAGATATACTTAGTTATTGTGTCTCGAAGCAGACAAACTAACTTGATAACTTTGTACATATGTTTGATTTCTTTTCTCTTGAAAGAATTCATGTACAAACTCTATACACTACTAAAATGATCATTACTGGCACTATCTATCTCTCTTTATATGTAACATGAAAATAAAAAATATGATGCTAACAGCAATAACAACAAACTCTGAGGTAAAAAACATCGTACGTGCGAACATGCTATTACAAATTACTGTAACATTTCTACTTAGTCAAATTACGTTAAGGTCACCAAAACACAGACAGAAATCTCAAAGAACTACGTATTGTTAACATCACTCATTTCCTCTAAACTTTGCCCTACAAAAGAAAGTTTTCCGAAGTAAATGGTAAGAAGGACTATTCTATTTTTAAAAAAAATACCTTTTTTCAAGTTTTAAGAAAAGCTGCATCTTCATTGATTTAGAACAGGATTTATCTCGTCATTTTTTTCTTCAAATATCGTAATCATAGCATAGTTAAACTACTGTAGATACCGTTGTTGTTTTTCAATTACCAACTATTGACTCATCAGAAGAATAACATATTGAGAAAAACAAATAGATTTATATTATCGTTAAAGAAATTAGTTTAAAAGTCAAAGGAAAAAAATTGATTTTTTGTTCTTTTACATTATAGGAACAGGTCTAGAATATATAGTAAAAAATATATAGTAAAAAAAGCAACAATGTATTGAGTGTTTAGGAATTTAATAGTTTTTCCTGAAATGTGAAAAGAACAAAAACTCATCAATTTTCCACACAAAGAATTGAGAAATCCATGATTAGAACAACAGAACAGTTAGAAAAGTAGAATAGATAATCAATCACGATTTTTAACTTTCTTTTCGTGGAAAAACAAAAAAAAAAAAATATATTAATGTGTCTATGGTCTCTTAAACTATTACCATGGATAAATTTCTATTGGATGTAGTAGCCAACAATTCTAGAGAATATCGTATCATTAAAACATATTACTAATGCTACATTCATTATACAGTTTTGGACATTATTATTCTATTACAAATTAAAGGCTATTTTCTATTTTAGTCATGTTAGGACAATAAAATGATGATACAAAAATAAAATAAATAATAAATTATGGACATATTAAATGCATTTCATCGTCTTCCTGTCATTAGCTATTTTGGCATAAGACGTGACGATGATTTTGCTGATAGATTAAACTATAAATATACTGTTGGTCTACTAGTATTCTTTTCTATTGTTATTGCATCAAAACAATTTTCAAATGATCATATTCAATGGTAATGTAAAACTTTCTAACTTTTTTTTTAACATATTATTAGTACATGATTTATTTATTTTAATTCAAGCTGGGTTCCTGCTATATTTACAAGAAATTATGAAATATATGTTAGTAATTATTGTTGGATTCACAATGTAAGATAGTTCAAAATATCTTAAAAGAGTGGCTCCCTCTATATCAATATCAACATTTTTATTTAGACATATCACATCAATATCAGTGAACCAAATATAAAAAAAGCATATCAAAAACGTTATGTATTACGTTATTATCAATTTGTTCCATTTATTTTATTAATTCAATCATTATTCTATATTTTACCACGTCTATTTTGGCGTTCATTAAGTCGACATTCAGGTATTGATGTAAAGAATTTAATTGATGCTGCTCAGAGTTTAAAAAGTGTTAAACGTTTTCATAAACAAAAGGTAGTTATGCAATATTTAATATCATTGATTAATCAATATGTTGATGATCCACGAAAAAAACAAAAAAGTCGTCATTCAAAATGGAATACATATTTTTATGGTTTACTCTGTTGTCTATTTGGTATGAACTATTTTAATGCTTATTTATTATCATTGTATTTATTTATTAAATTATTGTATATTATTAATTCATTATTTCAATTAGTTGCCATATATATTTTATTAGAAAGTAGTTTTCATCGAAAATCATTTGATATTCAAAATATATTCTATGGAATATTGAAACAAAATCCAATGTCAAAATATTTTCCTAAAATAAGTATGTGTGATTTTCGTATTATTGAACCGAATAGTGATGAAGGTCACAAATATACGGTACAATGTGTACTTACCATCAATGTATATAATGAACAAATATTTACGGTTTTATATATTTGGATATTACTTGTTCTATTTATAACAATGTATGATTTTTTATCATGGATAATATTTTTAATATTTCCAAAATTAAGATATAGTTTTTTTATTCAACGCATTAATGTAACTCAATCTTTGTCGACTATACGAACAACGATGCATCTATTTGTCTATGATTATATGCAACATGATGGATTTTTTATACTACGTTTAATACATTCAAATGCTGGTGAACAAGTATGTTCAGATATTTTGACAAGTTTATGGAAAAATTTTTATAGGACAGATAAAGAAAATGGCACATCAATAACAAATGTGTCAAAGAATAAAATGACTACGCATACGTCAATAAATCGAGCTGAGATTGATGCGACAACGCATTCATCACGTAATGGTACAAATCAGACAAATAATCCACAACAACGACTTGGAGGATTTTTTAATTATTCACGAACAATAACAAATTTATAATAAATTTTATTTTTTATCTCTTCTATTTGAACTATTAATAGTTTGAGTTTTTTATTTTTCACAACATCTCTTAATCAATTATTCTCTGTGTTGTTGACAGTTGAGTATTCTCAAATAAGGAAACTACAATCGGTTTTTTTTCTACAACCCATTGGATAATATTTCTATTCTCACGATTCTTTTAACTGGTATCCATTTAAAAAAAAAATCTTGTCTTTCGAAGATATTTAGCGAACTTTCCTTAAGTCAATCGATGTTACGTCCAATTTATATGTAGACAAACATATATATCAATTTACTAAGAAAAGAACTATTTCAAAACACACTATTTTATTTCCAAATTGTAAATTTAATCATACTACAAAAAATATACAAATGTATTTTTAAATACTCTACTGTTCTGTTCTCACTTTTGACTTGTCATTCTTGTGTAATCACCGGTTGAGACTAATGTATTTTTTTTTTCTTCATTAGATTATATTGGCGGTATTTGAATATCATCATGAGAATAAATAATTTCTCGTGAAATATCCATCATTAGTAATTCACGAGCATATCCCTTTACAATAAAATCGCGAAATTCTACAAAAAAGGACATATAGTATCATTAATAAAGTCTACTAGAATATAAAAGTATACCCACCGTTATAATCTAGCATTTGATTGTTATCCCAGTCAACTTTGCCAACATATTCTTTAATTTTTTCTCTTGAAACAGATTTTCCTATGATGCGCATTAACGACTCAAGCTCTTCAGCTTCAATAAACTGATCACCATTTCTATCGAATGCACGAAAAGCCAAATAAATTGAATAATCATTGTGATCGCCAGTAATAACCGGAATCAAAATATCACAAAATTGATCGAACGTGAGTAATTCACCGTACACGCCTAAAAATAGACGACAAAAAAGTTAAACCTTCAATGTGTACATTTTCTTATCTTACCCGTTGGTGTTACAATCTGCTTCATTTGATCAAATTGTTCTTTCGTTATACCAAGTTTATACTGATGACCTTTGTGTTTCTCTGCTAATGGCAATCCATCGAAATCATTGTCTCTTTCAAACCAATCGTAAATAACTAAAAGCATAGAGTTTGGTTACATATTCTAAAAGGCGACGAGGAAATTATTTGGAGACATTAGAGACTATAGAAAATATCATTAAAATTTCTAAAAAAACCATAATGTTGATTTATCGCTCTTACTGGAAGACTAATTGATGGTAAATATTATCTCTTACATTCATATGGAAGTACTCTATAATGAACACACTGTTATCAACTAAACAGTTTGTCGAATTTAGCGTATAATATAATAGATTGTAAACAACTGATGGGCTAAAATGATTTCTGATTAAATTAATGTCTTGGCTTTGTGCTTTCATCATACAAACAAGATGAACTATTTATTTTCTGTATATTCTGATAAAAATAATATCTTCAAGCTATTTATGATCATTATATTAAATCATACGGTTATTCTCTCTATATATAAAGTTAAGAGTGAATTTTCTCATAACTAAATGAGTGATGCAACACTAATATACAAAACGGAATAGAGCATGCATTAAAGCAACTACCAGACTGGCAAAATATCTAAATTTCTATTAGAAAAGAACGTAATCAACTGTTCTTCATTATTTTGTACAATTTTTTGTTTTACAGTCATCTTCAAAGAAAGTAATCAACCATTCATCTGTGCGAAAAAAAATAAAATCAAGCACTTATTCTATTTAAATCAAAGTGATCTCCGAAACTTCAATAACTATTTTCTTAAATTTATCATTGTTTATGTTTTCCCATTGTCTGCTAGTATTTTAACATTGTTCTTTTTATATTCGAAACTATCATCACTTTTTAGTAATGATAGTTTCGAACAATTTCTCTGTTTATAAAAGCAGATGTGTATATTTAATATAGCAAATGGATACAAATTCTTTCATGATTTTAATCATAATAATTCAGTGCAGAAACACGTATCGTAATGGTCTTGTTATTTTGTTAGATTAATACACTATCCAATCTTGTATTCTACTTCATAGTAATAAGAATACCACACACATAAACAACACTCAATCATTTTCTTCGTCTATAGAACCATAATCTCAATATTTACAGAATTACCAACAGAATGTTCCAGAAATATCAAATCAAAGACTTCTTTTTATCACATTTAACTTACAAAAGAGAGTACATAGACGTTAACTCCATAACGGAAGTAAAGAACTGTACAATTTTCTTTTCGCACAGATAGCCATTCTCGGTAAAAAGCATTCTGAATCAAAGTTCAAAATTCTAATAGTAACGCTCCTTCTGTTTAAAGATCGTCAAAATCAAAAACAAAGTTAAAAAAAGCAAAATTTCATTCAGCAGTTAATCTGAACCAATCTAAAGACGAGAAGATTAATTTTACCTTTAATAAGTTCTCCGTTGACCTTTTTGGAATATTTTCCATACCGTCTAAAGATCAAAAGACTTTTAAAATGTGTATGATCCTTCTCATTTACTATCATACCTGATAACGTTATCACATATTGGCAAATGAATTAACTTTTCCATTGAGGTACCTTCCATATTTGTCAATTGATTTGTTACACACGATTGACGCACGATATCACATTTAACAGTGTTAATTCATTACGTGCTGGCTTTGTGTAAATACAGTTTTGTTCTATAGATCTTGATGTATATATGAAGCTGTTGAGTAACGGAGAACAAGCAGAAAAAGACGAAATATGTTTTTTTTCTTATATCTTATTTTTTTTAACATGATCTATGCGTAGTGTTATCAGAACTATAGTAGAACAAGAAGAGAAAAAGAATAAAAATGCACAGAATAACGGGAGAAAAGTGTCGATTTCATTTGGACAATTAAGAAAGTTGCGAGTCTATCTATAGAATGCCATTATTTATACTGTTTTCCTGCTTCCTGTTTAACAAGACAGCTGGAAATTGTTGACATATAGGGAAATTTACTCCTTGTACTAATCGACGTAATGCCCTGCGTAGGCAAGTGTCACATTTCTACAGGAGATATTCGATTAATAGTCTATGAAATTATTTTCATTCCACAACCACATGAGAAATAGACAGATTGACACTTACACTATTTATAAAGATTCATAGATTTCAAATATATTTATATTCTACGTAGACTTGCAGAAGAATTTACAAAAAAGGAAAAAAATCTAAAACCGTAGAAACACAACAACGGACAGCTGACTCTAATGGTTCACAACAACGTTTTGCAATACAATCTCATCACTCAGACAACTAATCCCAG